GCACGATAAAGAACCCTTACTGCTTAATGGCCCTGAGTGCCGAGTATAGGTCTAAATTTGAAGCCCTTCACCGGCAAACGGTGACGTCTCCACATGTCCATATGAGTGAAAAATTCTCGAGACGGACGTTAAACAATATACAATCAATCAATCTTACTTAGGTTGTCTTTGTTTCTACAGACCGACACTTCTTTCTCCTTAAATCTATACCACTGATTTAACCATTCAGAAAATGCTTGTTCAGAAGAATCTGAATCTATAAAGCTTAACAATACACCATTCTCCTCATAGGTTACTACATATCAGCCAGGATCCATTACACTCTTCAAAGATCAATAGAAATGATTGCTTTTAAAACCAAAGATTATGGCGTTTAAATGCACAAAAATATTGCGATTAAACGAATAATTATTGCGATTAAACGCAAAAATATTATTGCGTTTAATCGCAATAATTATTGCGTTTAAACGCAAAATATTGCAATTTGTTGCCATTGTTTAATCGCAATAATTATTGCGATTAAACGCAATGTTTTGCGTTTAAACGCAATAATTATTGCGATTAAACGCAATAAAATTTTTTTTTTTTTTTGGTGAAAAAAAAAATTGTTTTCAGATTTTTGGTAGATAACATAAAAGAGAGTTTTTCCATACACGAATATGCTCCACTCTTGGTATAAAATACTGGATTGATAAAGACAAAAATTGAAAATGAAACAGTTTCAATATCCTGAAAAATTGGGAAAAAATTTAATATTACAAAGTGGCTGGAAAAAAGTTTGGGACAGGAACATTTTCAGTGGGTCGGTAAGCAACTGCAAACAAACAATATTTTATTTTGGGCCTAACTATTCAAAAGCAATGGCCAAGGTTAAAGATTGCTAATTTCTTGTAGAAGTGTGTTATGCTCCAAGGTGGAGAGGTCGAACTTGGTGGTACCCAAAGAAAGGTCAAGTCTAAATTAAGTAATACACCTAAAATTTGAAAACCATAGCTCCATCCACTCAAAAGTTATGCGCAAGGTTAAATCTTTTTTCGGACAAAAACAGGCAGACGGACAGGGCAACAACTACATACCCCCAAGTTCTTCGATTACGGGGGCATCAAAGTATTTACCTGGTAACTGGGAAACTATTTTGTAAGAATTTTAATGTGTAGTTAAAGATGTACATCATTTAAGTTCATATCGGTTAATATACTACACTATAGATGAAAATCTTTTAAAACAAATGAATAGGTAAAGCAGATCAATGTTATCACTGCAATTACATCAGTCTTTAGCGTATGGTTGAATATATACTCGACTTTTGCTGTATATCGATTCTTAGTAATATACTTTCTTTGAATATCGATTCCTAGTACATGTAATTATATATTTTTATGGGTGAAAACGAGACATTAATGTCGCTTCATGTCGTTACGTCACTTCCGCTCAAGGACAAACACGTACACAATCGCAACTTCTCGGGCCTTTCCGACTAGCGGAAAAACGACCTCGAATGTATGTGGTAGACGCCATTACAACCCTCCTTTTTCACGATCTTTGAAATAAATGCATGGAGACCTTTTATCTGTGGAATATGGAGTTTAACTTTATTCATTTGATATTACCTAAAATATACTATAGAAGAGACTTCTAACTCCGTCTGTCCTACATTTGACTAAACAGGAAATGTATAAATTTTTAACATCCGGCGATGTTAATACATTCGAGGTTGTTTTTCCGACCACTGACGGAAAGACCCGAGATGATGCGATTGACACGTACACAATCTAAAAAAAAATACTTTATTCCCCCCAACTCCGTGCAAACTGATGATACGCAAAGTTGATCAGAAAATATCTATTTTGCACACATGGAAGAAGTTTATATAATATACTCAACAAAAAAAGTTAAGGGTTATGAAAGGGTTATAATTTCTAGGTCGAAAAAGTATAATTAATCAAAATAAATTACATAATTTCCTCTGTAAAGTTATAACACATTTGACAAAAAAGTAATGGTAAATGTTCACTTGGACAGAAGAACAAGATTAACAATTATGGATACCCTTATTAGCTCTACTGGTCAGAGACCAGAAGAGCTTATGCGATAGTAATGCGCCCGGCGTCCGTCCGTCTGTCTGTCAGTAAACAATTTTTCAAAATGCTACTCCTCCTACAGTTTTCGTCTGATTTCAATATAACTTGGCACACAAGTAGACTACACTAAGATACATAATTCTATATATCGGTTTTTGATTTCAATGAACGGTGTTGCCGTGGTTACTAAAAATAGAAATTTCTGTGAAATTCTTTTAAAAATGCTACTCTTCCTACAGTTTTAGTCTGATTTCAGTATAACTTGGCACACAAGTAGACTACACTAAGATACATAATTCTGTGTATCGGTTTATGATTTCGATGAACGTTGTTGCCGTGGTTACTCAAAATAGATTTTTTTTTTGAAATTCTTTCAAACTGCTACGCCTCCTACAGTTTTGGTCTGATTTCAATATAACTAGGCACACAAGTAGACAACACTAAGATACATAATTCTATATATATATCGTTTTTCGACTTCGAAGAACATTATTGCCTTGGTTACTAAAAATAGAAATTTCTGTGAAATTCGCTCAACATGCTACTCCAAATACAGTTTTTGTCTGATTATATTATAATGTGGCATACAAATAGACTACACTAAGATCATAAAGAGACTTAATCAAGGATAATTATTCTGTTTATTGCTGTTGTAAAGCTCTAATTCCCAACTGCTTAAGTACTTTTCTCTTCCTTGACTATAAGTACCAGTAGAGCTTCAATCTCGACAGAGACTTCTGGGTTTTAATGTGAATTTTCATATACAGTAATTGCATAATTTGTTTAATTAAAGACTGACAATTATCCTGACAACTCTCAATACTTGGTGTGGCCTCCCCTTGCCTGAATAACAGCCCTGCGACGCCTGGGGAAACTTCGAATGAGTGGTCCTTTGAGGTATCCGATCCCATTCCTCTAACAGAGCAGCTTCAAGTTCATTGGTGTTGCATGGGGCAGGGTCCCGCTGCTGAATTTGCCTCTGAAGAACATCTCAGACATGTTCAATAGGGTAGAGGTCTGCTGACTTCGAAGGCCACTCCATTCTCTCGATAGTCTCTGCCTCAAGGTACTGGTTTACGATGTTTGCTCTGTGTGGCCTGGCGTTATCATCCATCAAAATGAATTCCCTTCCTATTGCCCCGGCAAATGTTTTAACAATTGGCTGAAGGATCTCATCTCTGTATCTGACACCGGTCAATGCTCCATTTCTGATGATGTACAACTCCGTGGACCCCTGAATAGAAATGCCTCCCCACACCATAACAGAACCTCCACCAAAGCGATCATGTTCAGCCACACAGCAGTCACTCAAACGCTCATTCTTCTTTCTCCACACCCGTCGCCTTCCATCATTTATGATCTGCACAAAATTTAGATTCATCTGTAAAGAGTACCGATCTCAAGTAGCGGATTTGCCAATTTGCATGGTCTCTTTCAAACTCCAGTCTCCTTACTCTGTGATCTGCAGTCAAAATTGGGCGTGTGGTAGGTCGTCTTGCTTTTAGATTAGCTTCACGAAGCCTATTCCTGCATGTTTAAGTAGAGATGTTTATTCCATGTGTGTTGTGAAAGTCCCTTTTCAAAGCAACAACCGAGTTAAATCGGTTTCGCTTTGCCTGCAGTACAAGTTGGCGGTCCTGTCGGGCCGTCGTACATCGTGGTCTTCCACTTCGAGGCCTTTCCTGGACTGATCCTGTAATCTGATATCTCTGCCACATCCGACCACTGCAGCCTGTGACATTCCAGTTTGTAGCATCCCTATGGCCCTACCGGCTTCCTGTACAGTCAAACGTCTTCTTTGAGGTGTCACCTGTAATTCATTTGTGTATAAAAGATGTTAAATTGTCCTTATTTATTGTCAGCATGAAATATTGGCAGTACATGTATTTCATAAAGACATGCTTACCAGTTCTACTCTGCAATGCTGACTAGGGTTGATACTTTTCGTTTGGCTTCGAACACGTGGACTGATAAAGTAGTGAAGTGTAGCAAACAACACATGTAGTTATGGATAAACATTCACATCAATTCATAATAAATTTCAGAATTGAAATTTCCTCAAATTAACTACCGGGGTATATTATACTTAACCCTTAACTTTTTTTGTTGAGTATTATAATGCACATTTTATAAATGTCAGACATTTGTCTCAACAACACATTTGAAACATTTTTGATCAGCCATTTCAAACATCAAGTCGCACGAGACATCTCAACTAGCTGTGACGTCATGGAACACGTCGAAGCTTACGGAGAAACCCTTAACTTTCTTTGTTGAGTATTATAATGTACATTTTATAAATGTCAGACAGTTGTCTCAACAACACATTTGAAACATTTTTGATCAGCCATTTCAAATATGAAGTCGCACGAGGCATCTCAACTAGCTGTGACGTCATGGAACACGTCGAAGCTTACGAAGAAACCCTTAACTTTCTTTGTTGAGTATTATAATGTACATTTTATAAATGTCAGACAGGTCTAACAACACATTTGAAACATTTTTGATCAGCCATTTCAAACATCAAGTCGCACGAGACATCTCAACTAGCTGTGACATCATTTTGAAAAAGTCTAGGTGGTTGAAACTTGTAATGAATTTTTTGAAAAAGTAATTGTAGAGTATTTTCTTCTTTCTTTTAAGATTTCAATCTACAAAACCCAAAAGCCTTTTATGTTTTATGTTATTTACTCGCCATTATCGCATGGAATCCTGGTAGCAAAGGGATTCTGGGAAGGTTTCACACAAAAAATTTGCTTGGCGTTTTTACAGACTTCATTCCGAATTTCCTCTGCTCTTACAAGTTAGTCTATTGAGCTCGCCTCGCGAGCTTCGCTGCACTAGCCATAATTTTGAAAAATATTAATGTTTACATTTTTATAAAGATGCAGTTGAATTTTCAGCAATGAATACTAGTACCTTTCAATATCAACAATATGGCGGATAGGACAAGGGAGATTCCTGCAATGGCGTGGAACACAATACACGTTTTCTTTCGACCATACCTAAACATAAACAACTTCTAATTAAACCTAAAGAAAGTTCGGGTATATTGTTGTTACTCATGTCCGTCCGTCCGTCTGTCACACTTTTCTTCCCTGAACTCCTACATTTTACACAGTAGCCTAATAATCTTTTGGGAGATGGTTGGTGGTGTCATGTAGATGTGCAGTAAGGTTTTGGAATTTTGATTTTGCCCCGGGGGGTCAAATGGGGGTCGAAAAATGATATTTTTTATGCAAAAAGCCCCGTCTTCCCTGAACTCCTCGTACATTTTACACAGTAGCCTAATCATCTTTTGGGAGATGGTTGGTGGTGTCATGTAGATGTGCAGTAAGGTTTCGGAATTTTGATTTTGCCCCGGGGGGATCAAAGAGGGTCGAAAAATGACGTTTTTTATGCAAAAAGCCCCGTCTTCCCTGAACTCCTACATTTTACACAGTAGCCTAATCATCTTTTGGGAGATGGTTGGTGGTGTCATGTAGATGTGCAGTAAGGTTTTGGAATTTTGATTTTGGCCCGGGGGTCAAATGGGGTCGAAAAATGACGTTTTTTAAGCAAAAAGCTCCGTCTTCCCTGAACTCCTCCTTCATTTTATACAGTAGCCCAATCACCTTTTGGGAGACGGTTGGTGGTTTCATGTAGATGTGCAGTAAGGTTTTGGAATTTTGATTTTGCCCCGGGGGGTCAAATGGGGGTCGAAAAATGTTTTTATGCAAAAAGCCCTGTCTTCCCTGAACTCCTCCTACATTTTACACAGTAGCCTAATCACCTTTAGGGAGATGGTTGATGGTGTCATGTAGATGGGCAGGAAGGTTTTGGAATTTTGATTTTGCCCCGGAGGGTCGAATGGGGGTCGAAAAATGATATTTTTTATGCAAAAAGCCCTATCTTCCCTGAACTCCTCCTTAATTTTACTCAGAAGCCTAATCATCTTTTAGGAGAGTTAATTATTTTGAAAATTAGGTAAAACATCAACGTCAAGGGGTAAAAAGCATTCAATTTGCATGCTGGGAAACATCTAGAATTCTAAGACTTATGAGTAATTAATACACATGTCAAATTTGAAAGTCATATCTCTTCTCAATCAAAAGTTATAAGCAAATGCAACATTTTTGAAAAGTAGGTAAGGCTTCAAGGTCAAGGTCACAGAGTCAAAAGTCATGATTTATTTGGAAAGGTCTTATCACAGGTAATAATATACATGCATGTATAATATGAATGCCCTAACTTTTCTCTTTCAAAATGTTGAATTTAAAACCATGTAATTTTTTTGCAAGTAGGTCAAACTTCTAGGTCACATATAAAAAATCATGCCATTCTCACAGGTAAATACATATACATATGTTTAATATGAATGCCTTGTCTCTTCTCATTCAATAGATATGACCGTGATGACCAAGGTTAAATTTATTGAGACAGATGGACATACTGACATACAAATGTACATATTTCTATGTGAATTGGGTAAAATTGTCCCAGTGGTTTTACAGAAGTTATAAATGTAAAAAGTTTTCAGACAAACAGATGGACGACAGGCGTTATATGATAAGGAAACCAGAAAAGCTCAAATGAGTGTTTTGAAAGAGTTACAATGGTTACAGTATTTGAAAAGCTGTTTTTTTTTTCATGCAGACATATGACCAACATATTCATGTTTTATATTTTCTTTAGTAATTTGTTTGTTTGTTGTGAAAACATCTCTCTTGGGAATTTTTCCCTCATATAGAGACACCACCAAATAATAATGAAGACAAGATGTGTTTGTGAAACACTGATGCCCCCGTATGGAAGCCTATGGTGAAGGTTGAAGTTTCTCAAATATATGTCAAACTCAAAGGTCAAGGTCAAAGGGTTCAAATTGTTGGTATCAGAAGAAAGTCTTGTCACAAGGAATACACATGTGAAATAAGTAATCCCTAGTACTTCCTGTTCAAAAGTTAATTGCCAAGGTTTAATTATTTTTAAAAAGTGGTTCAAACTCTAGGGTCAAGGTCAAACATATTTATACCTGTTGAAAGTTCACAATGAATACACGTGTAAAGCATGAAAGTCCTAGCACCTACTGATCAAAATTTAGGCCAAGTTTAAAGTTTGGTATTTTTCTTGTAAAAACGTGTAAAAATCCAAGGTCAAGCGATCAAGAGGTCAAAATTCATGGTACCCAAATAAAAAGTCTTGTCACAAGGAATTAACCTATGAAATGTGGAAGCCATGTGTATAGCCTATCCCACTTAAAATTTATGGGCAAGGTTAACATTTCTGCAGACAAATAGACAGACAGACATAATATAAACACAAGAAACAAAATATGTATAGTTAGTCAAATGGGAAAAAATCTACTATTTTGGAGTCACAAGATTGATTGTTATTTCAGGGACAAGGGGTGGCTAGGAAGATTGGATCCCCCCCCCCCCCCCCTTGGAATTTGCTTTGTTACTGAGTATTTAAATGACTATATACTGAAGCAAATAAAAAATGACTTTGGGCATCCCCCCCCTTACTTAGAAAACATTGACCCCACGACCCCATTATCATTGTTTTTATATTGTTTATTTGTTTTCATTTTTTTCTCCTGCTTGTCAGGAAATTCTGGGCTGGAATTATTTGACTGAGATGTAAACCCCCTCCCTTTCCCGAAAAAAAAATTCTGGATCTGCACCCGTATTGGCAGTAACTGAATGTTACATCTACAACGGGAGATAACTTCACAATATGAAATTCGTCTTCAGTGGCATGCGATGATCTTTGACCCTTTTGAACTTTAACCTAATCATTTGCATTTTGGTTTATTTTACCCCACTATACTTAAACTTGTACTTTCCGACTGTCATAGGTCCTGTCAACTTCATGAAATATAATCCAATTATAACACAAAATTAATTAATCCAATGCACACCAGACTGCAGCATGTGCTAATGCTATCCCATTCGGCAAACCTTGGTCGATTCCGTCGCTTTATCAGATGAAGTAGGAATCGGCCAAGGTGGTCCGAGTGCTGCTTAATCTAAAAATATGATAATGGGTGAAGCAACCCAATGTGATGTAGAAATTTTCCAAAAGGTGTTGTTTACATGTACATGTAAACATGTATACATGTAGTACAAGAACAAATTTTAAATTAATTCATAACAAACGATGTTTTAACAAAACTTTTCCATCTAGCCTATTCCAAAAAAAAAAAAAAACGTACGTGCCGTGTGTTTGTGGTGTCGAGGGGGGGGGGGTTTAGTAAATTTAAAAAGGTCTTATTATGAGCAAAACATTTATCAAAATCTAATTTACATCATTAATTAAATTCAAACTGATAATAAATTAAGCATGTAAAATACATATTTTTAAGAGGTTCTGAGTCATAGGTCACATGGTCACAGGACTGAGAATTTCATACTCAATTTGACGAATACATGTACATGTTCTGTGTAAATTATAGAATTATTTTGACTTTTTCCTTGGAAAACCGCCCAATATGTAGGAGTGTGTATTTAGAGGCAAACACCTTAATGCGGGTATTACTGTCTTCTGACAGCATCTAGTGTAAATATTTGTAGCCCTCTTTCGACTTTGGGTAAAATTATTAGGTAGGTATAAGTAGTTTGGGAAATCCTTTTTTGAAAAGATAATTTCAACATATTTGTTGACGAGATAAAAGGACTAAATAGGAAAAAAATATCTTGTCCTGTAATGTACAAAAATAAAGTTTTGCTAATTACAACTCACACAAAAAAGTATAATAGAAAGCACTTTCATTACTCTTACCTGTTGGCCATGAACATACAAACAAACAAGCTTGGTATCTCTATTATGCCATTTATAAAAAAGTTCAGGAATCTATTTCCGGTCATGGTACCAGACGTCAGAAATATACCATTGTATGTCAAGGCATTAACAAACCTGCAAAAATATATACATTTACCATTTCTACGTAAGTCACCTAAAAATGATAAAACCATGCAAGTCTGTCAATATGAGCATCAATATTTGTTCAATTTAAGTACAAAAAATAAATCCTACCATACAATCCATACAATAATGGATGTCAGCAAAATATGCCTTTTCCGGAATAGTTCAAAAACAGTATAAGTCTCGTTGGTGACGTGGTGCTTTGAGTTTTGCGCCCCACCATTTTCACCTTCAGTTAACGACTGGGTGGCATTTGATGTAGAATTAACGTTACTTAATTCTAAAATAGCTGATGGTTGCTTTCCATTACATTTTGCAGCTCTAATTATCCATGCCTTCATTTCTTCTGTCTTGTTATTTGCCACAAGCCAACGTGGTGACTCAGCCAATATCCTAAAACATTTGTAAATTTAGGTTTTGAAAATATGGATTTTGTGTCATGAAACAGTTAACTAGTCTTAAGAATGATATCAAACAAGTATATTATTTAGTCGGTAAAAGAACTTGATAGCTCATGTTCTTTGTTATGTGTATATAGTCCGACTATAAATAAAATTTACTACTACAACTACTTTTCCTCGTATGGTAACGTTACATATTATTAAAAAAACGGATGACAAACAGATAGACTGTCACACTGATTAGATGAAAAGACCTAACCACCGTGTTCCAATGCAATGGAATCCCGTAAGCCCGGCTGCTAACATGGTGTAGCGCCAAGATTCATTCCGCAACAAATAAGCCAGTAAGGGGATGCTCGATATGCCCAGAGACCAAACTATGCAGCAAATGTATATCATTGGTCCTCTACATTCTGCTGGAAAAAGTTCTATGCACAAGGCAGCAACAGTAAGTCCAAAACCCTGCAAGTAATGGACAATATTTTCTTCCTTTCTATATCACAGTTTCAATCAAAACGTTTTGAAATACAAACATTACGTAATTTTTCTAAACTTTCTAACCATCTGAAAAGCTCCGATTAAAAATCTTAAGATGACAAAAACTGGAAACCATGGAACAACTGCCCCAAGTATTGTACAAATGGTCATTGATAGGAAGGTCGTGTACACCAAGACTTTACGTCCATATTTGTCAGCCATAGGTGTAAACAAACTGGCCCCAAGCATCTGACCCACCATGACCATTGTCGTGGACATGGCACCTAGACCCTCTCTGTTGCAAACTAAATTCCACTATAATAGACAAGTTTTTTCTCTCAAATTAATGCTTAAAGATTTATTTGGGAAGCTTTTTTTTCGTATTTATGACGAACAAGTGAACATGCAAGGTATTTAAATTAAAAAACAAAACAAAACTTCAATGAAAGGATGTTAAACATGTATTTAAGAATAAGGAAGCATGAAAATTCTCCCTGACATAATCTTACCTCCAAAGACGAATTTTAAAGAACCCACCTCAGTTGCAACTGTTTCTGGACCTTCGTATTTGTAGCCATTGATACACGTCAGCTGAGATTTCCCAATAGTGTTTGACTGATTTACTTGAATAGTGACGTCACATCTGTGATAGTTTATGTCAACGTCACTGCTATTCGTAGAAATTTCTTTACCGTTCCAAATAATAAGGGAAATGTCTCGGCAACGGAAATCTGGGATAGTTCCTAAAAAGATAATTATACTGCTGTTATTTGATTAATTCTATTATCGCCATCTTTCATGTAAATGATTGAATTATGATGTGTTTTACAATAATGTACTTTCAAGTTAAAAGGTAAAATCTTATTGGTTTAGACGTATTTAACAATTCGAAATGTTACCCTCAGCGTTTGCAAATCACTTGACAAGGGGCAACACAACGAAAATGTGATATGCTTTCAAATGCGCGCGCGTGATTATCCGTCAAATTCTCAAAACGTCCGTTGTGCGTTTGGAAGCCGAATAAACGTGACGTCATTGCCTCCGATATAGCTTACTTGAAAAGGACAGACTAAACAAATAATAAATCATAAGATGATTAAAGACCTCTTTAGTATCAAACAAAAAATAAAGATGCCGATGAATCTTTTCAAAGCTTCCTTTCTTCGAAAACTGGTGTGGGGAGTCTAAAAGCTTTCTAAACGTGGACTTAAAGACGATCGATGGCTTTTTTTCTGACACATCCTAGTTGTTAGAGCGTATGGGTTAGATTCGCGAAGTACGGAGTCCTTCCTTACGTCGCGGTTTCGAATCCTACTGTGGGACGTGGAAACCAGTCCTTTGGATAAGACCGTATAAACTGAGGTCCCGTGTCGCAATAGGTGCTGGCACGAAAAAGACCCCTTCCTGCTCCATGGCCTACCCTGAGTGCCGAGCATAGGACAAAAAGGAACACCATTGTCAACCGACGCTGTAGCAGATGAAATTGACATCCCTCGGAAAAAGCATTGCAAACTTCCGCCGACGCGTCGGTTGACAATGGTTTTCCTTGAAGTGTCAATTTCAAATGAAACCTTCTAAAACAGGCACCATTTAAAATATATTCTCTTTGACATATAGTGTACATTTTTACGTTTCATTGAATCTGGAAAAAAAACCCTGATTTATTATTTAGATACATAAAATAGTGCATCGGTTTTTTTATTTCGATGAACGTGAAATTCCTTTAAAACGCTACTCCTTATACAGTTTTGGTCTGATGTCAATGGCTTCTTTTCTCATCCTTTTTTATAAGTACAAACCAGTAGAGCTACAGTCTCGACAGAGACATCTGGTTTTGGAAAGGTTTTATCACAGGTTATAATATATATGCATGTATAATATGAATGCTCTAACTTTTCCCTTTCAAAATGATGAATTTAAAACATGTAATTTTTTGCACGCAGGTCAAACTTCAAGGTTACGGGTAAAAAAAATCATGCCATTGTCACAGGTAAATACAAATACATAATTATGTTTAATATGAATGCCTTGTCTCTTCTCATTCAATAGATATGACCGTGATGACCAAGGTTAAATTTATTGAGACAGATGGACAGACTGACATACAAATATACATATTTCTATGTGAATTGTTTAAAATTGGCCCAGTGGTTCTAGAGAAGAAGTTAACCAGAAGTCTCTGTCGAGACTGTAGCTCTACCGTGAGTATATAATGTGGCATGCAAGAAGACACTAAGAACATAAAGAGACTTAATCAAGGATCATTATTCTATAATTCTATAATTTATTGCTGTTATAAAGTTTCAATTCCCAACAGCTACTTTTCTCTTCCTTAGCTTTAAGTAAAAACCAGCTTCAGTCTCGACAGAGACTTCTGGTTACAATACCTTGACCTGTTGATTTTCAATTCAATGAAGGGGAAAAGCTAGACAATCTTTATGAATTTTATCTCAGAAAAATACTTCAGCATCGTTTTTATTTTCAGCGTTGCCTTGGGAACTTGGGTGGACATACATTTAGTACATATATTCAGCGGTATTATGTAAAGTAAAAATCAAAATCAAAATGTTAGGGGTGTTCGACACCGTTTGCAGCATTATCATTCACTCGCCCTTAAGCATTTTAAGTAGGGGTAGTAGAAATTTTTGGTAAAATACATGTACATCTATATTTTTTTTATGGGCCCGAATCGATAGATTCGAGGTGTAAATTGTTTTTGTCCTTTCTGTCTGTTTGTCTAGCTGTTTGTCTGTCTGTTGTCAACTTTAACCTTCGCCATACCTTTTTAACCGTGAGAGATAGAAACTTCATATTTGGTATGCATACTCCACTAATCAATCACTTTTAATTGACACCAAGGTCAATAACCTTTTGACCTTGACTGTGACCTATATGCTAAATTATCTTTTTCGTACTTTTGCCATTACTTTTGAACCATAGGAGACAGTCTTCATATTTGGTATGCATACCCCTATAATGACGCTCTTTCAAATAACGCCAAAGTCAATGATCTTGTGACCTTGACTGTGACCTATATGCTAAAATTAGATTTTTCGAACTTTCGCCATTATTTTTAAAATTATAGGAGATAGAGACTTTATATTTGGTATGCTTAGTCCACTAATTAAGTTCTTTCAAATGTCAACAAGGTCAATGACATTGTGACCTTGACTTGATCTATATGCTTAAAATAGCTTTTTCTAACTTTCGCCTTTATTTTTGAACCAGGAGAGATAGAGATTTCATTTTTGGAATGCTTAGTCCACGTAATAGGTTCTTTCAAATGCCAACAAGGTCAATGACCTTGTGACCTTGACTTTAACCTATATGCTAAATATTTTCGAACTTTAGCCATAACTTTTAAAACCCAAGAAAATAGAGACTTGATATTTGATATGCATACTCCACTAATTACGTGCTTTTAAATGACACCAAGGACAACAATGACTGTGACCTATATGCTAACAAGCAAATTCAAAGAATTGTGGTCCCCCGCTTTCGGTGTCTTTGTCGGTGAGATGTTATTTTTTATGACATATTGTGTCTAATATGAACATCCTATCATATGTCATTTCATAGAAATTATCATTGAAGTTGATTTTTTTGAAGGATAAAAACCCTTATCCTGACCGTTAAAAAGTTATGGCCAAAGTTAACGTTTTTTAAAAGTAGGTCAACTCCAAGGTCAAGATCAAAGGGTCAAAGTTGTTGATGAAAGGTTTTCTCACAAGGATTACATATGTGAAGCATGAAAGCCCTAGCCCTTACCGTTCAAATGCTGTTGTCAAGGTTCAAGTTTTTACATAAGTACGTAAATCTTTAAGGTCAAGGACAAAAAGTAAAAATTTATTGGTATCTAATGAAAGGCCTTATCACAAAGAATATATAAGTGAAATATAAAAGTCCTAGTTTTTTGTGACCAAAGTTGAAGTATTTTTTAAAAGTAGTTAAAACTCCAATGTCAAGGTCAAAGGGTAAAAGTTGTTGGTATCCAATGAAAGGTCTTCTCAAAAAGATTACATATGTGAAGTACGAAAGCCCTAGCCCTCACCGTTCAAAAGTTATGGTCAAGGTTAAAGTTTTTCATCTTCAAGGTCAAAAGGTCAAGGTTGTTGGTATCCAATGAAATGTCTTGCAACAAGGAATACATATGTGAAATATAAAAGTCCTTGTCTAAAAAGTTTTTTTTAAAAAGTAGTTGAAACTCCAAGGTCAAGGTCAAAGGGTAAAAGTTCTTGGTATCCAATGAAAGATCTTTTCATCAGGATTATAAATGTGAAGTATGAAAGCCGTAGTACTTATTGTTCAAAAGTTATAGCCAAGGTTAAAGTTTTTTCATAGATACGGAAATCTCCAAGGTCAAGGTCAAAAGGTCAAGGATATTGGTATCCAATGAAAGGTCTTTCCACAAGCAATACATTTTTGAAATATGAAATTACTAGTACCTTCCATTCAAAAGTTATGGCCAAAGTAAAAGTTTGAAATTTCTGTGTAAAAGTGGGTCAAACTCCAAGGTCAAGGTCAAAAGGTCAAATTTGGTGGTACTCAAAGAAAGGTCTTGTCACAATGAATACACATGTAAATATGAAAGTCATAGCTCTACTAAATCAAAAGTTATGGGAAAGGTTAAAGTTTTTGTGACGGACAACGGACAGACATTGCTATTCGAACTTTGTTGCCGCCGGGCGCATAGTGTTTCACAAACACATCTTGTTTCTTGTTTGATTTTTGTAAATTTTGTTTCTCGTTCATTAAGTTTATGTGTTTTGTTTACGCTTCCTTTTGCTCTTGGTATGTGTCCATTTCTTTTCTTTCTTTCAGTCTTATTCAAGGTACCCTTCAGTCAAACATATAATTTTGACTTAAAGTTTAACAGAGGGATGAAACTAAAGCCCATTCACATGTAACTTTTTCCATTCTTCGTCTTTTCTTTTAAAGCCATTTAATTATTTTTTATTTTTCGTTTTGAAGATTTCAATCGTAAAAGAAGCATTTAAGAGATTTTTACAATAACTATTATAAGAAATTGCAACACAAAACTCAAAGCTTTTAGGCAATAAACAAGAGTACATTACCTATAAACACAAAAATGAGGACCGGAAAGACCGTGGGTAACAGACAAATTTGGTTGTACATGAATTGGAGAATTTGGAATCTTCCATATTTGCCCAAAGAACGCAAAACTTCATCCAAGTCGAGTGTTATTGCCATTTTGTAAGATCGCATGTGGTGAAAATTCGAGACGAACGCAATATTATAGTGTCTTATAAATAGATGATTTTTTTCTTAGTCACGTCGTTACTTTGCGGTATGCTGCAAAACGTCCGTTTTCGTATGCGTGGCCATTCATCTTTTCTCTATCTCTAAGTGAAATCATGTAAATAATGTACAAAAAAAATCATAAAATTAACTTTTTTCAAGAAGCTTTTGATATTGCATCATAAGGATATTTTAAAGACTTTGGAAATGTCTTAGAGTCTTATGAAGTATTATCATAACAAGCAAAGAAATACCCATGCTAACTCTCGATTCCCGCCTACATTTTGGAACAATTTAATTCAATATAAATAGCAATTTGGCCATAAAATCTTTGTTTAATACAAAGAACAGTTCAATGGTAATTGATGAATTGTTTTAATACCAGCGCTAAACAGTTAATTATCCATAATTCCAGCTCTTGAAAAAAGAGGGTAGACGATATTTTCCATTGAAATCGGAGTTTCAAGCATCACCATATTTTGAAATAGTCTTGGATATGATTAAATGTTCCTTACATCTTTTCTTATGTTTTAGGCAAATAAATAAAACGTAGATATTACAATATGATATAATGTTTCTGTTGTAAATCGCTTTGAAATTGGTGAAAAATAAGCATTTTTATCGTTTTTTTTTTCAATAAACATATGCCCCCCTTCCGTGTCACACAAAAAGTTTTGGTATGAATTTGTGAAATAACATTTCATATCACATGTAAAAAGGAATTTTTCTGACACGGGGGGGAGATGTTTAAAAAATAATTTTCGTTTTCCGTTGATTTCTATAGTGAAAAACACAAGTTTTACCAAAATTTTAAAGTTATCTCTCTTTGTTTTCCCAAATAAGTCATGTTTTATGAAAATCCATATAATTATCTATAAAACATATCATCGAATATGTTAACTTTTGAAAATTGACTTGGAGGTAGGCGGGAGAACAATAATAGCGTCCGCAGTTCTTTTTAAAAAAGTGGCCCCTTGCTTTCAGTGTCTTAGTGGATGGAATGTCATAATATATGCATGGCATGTTGTATCAATTGTGAATGCCCTATCATATGCCATTCAAAAATCATCAAGGTTATTTTTTAATTGGGTCAAACAAGAAGGTCAAAGGGGTCAAATCTCGTCATATATATAGATATATATATTGTCGAAGTGAAATATATGACGATAATAGCGAACACAAAATGACCCTCAAAGGTCCATTAAACAAAACAAAATTGTAGCAGAGTAAGTAAACACGGACTTCCTAAAAACACATGTATAATATGAGCACTATCTCCTCTCATTCAAAAACCAAAGTTCAAGTTTTTGAAAAGAACGTATGAACTTCAAGTCGAAGTCACGTGGTCAAAACGTACTGTATATAGAAAAGTCTTGTCACAGTTAAAACACGTGTGTAATATGAGAGGTCTATATTACCTTTTCCCTTTCAGGATTTATGGCCAATTAATGAAATGTTAAAATTTGTTTTAAAAAATGGGTCAAACTTCAAGATCAAGGTCGCGGGGTCAAAAACCATAGTAAATTTAGAAAATCTTTTTATAAGTAATGCACATGTGAAATATGAATTTCATATCTCTTATTATTCAAATGTTTTGACCAAGGTTAAGTAAGACAGACGGATAGACGAATGAGATTCGATCTCGCATCGCTTTTGCGAAAGCGGGGGGCAATGATCTTCCCTTACCATCCAGCGCCTTTAACCAACATGAAATGTGCGAAATTCAATGAGATAAAACTAAACACTTATTAATAACATAGCAATGTCGATGCCTACGTGGCGCAGTGGTTAGAGTGTCTGCTTCAGAATTGTGAAGTATAGGACTCGAATTCACTGTGAGACGTGGATATTATGATGAGACTGTTCAAATCGAGGTTTCGTGTCGCAGTAGCTGCTTGCACGAAACAGATCCATCACCGCTAAATGGCCCTAAGTGCCGATGATATATTAAAATCTGCAGCCCTCCATGGCAAGTGATGGCGTCTCATTTCAGTGAAAAATTCCCGAGAGGGACATGCTTGCAATGTCTTGATTGATTGATTGATTGATTATATATTGTTTAACGTCTCTCTTGAGAATATTTCACTCATATGGAGACGTCACCGTATGCCGGAGGGCTTCAAATTTTGACCTATACTCGTCACTTAGGGCCTTTGAGCAGTGAGGGTTCTTTATCGTGCCAGCGCCTACCGTGACACGGGACCTACGTTTTTAAGGTCATATCCGAAAGACCTGAGACTTTCACTTCTAGTGCCGAGCGCTTGGCAAAGGAACAGTCACTACCCTTGTTTACGTCTTAGGTATGACGCGGCGCCGCGATCGAAAATCGAACCTGGGCCTCCCGATCACGAAGCGAACGCTCTACCACTAGACTACCGTGACCGGTACAATGTCTTGAAGTTATGAACAGATAATTATATGTCACAATTTTTGACACATTGATTTGATGTGTGAATTTGTAAAGATGAATTTATCGGATATGATTATTGGCTTCTCTTTTTCTCTAATCGACTTCAGACCCCCCCCCAATTCCAAAATTGGGGCGGTGTAAAACGTTAGGTTTGTCCGTTAAAACATATAATTATATGTCCGTCCGTTAAACTTTGGGTAACAATACCTTATCTGCAATTTTTACTTAATTTACTGAATAAAATGTTTATTGCATAATATCATTGTCACAGTCGTGATCATGTATACTGGATTGAGCGAAACAAGATGGCGGCGAAGACATTTATAATTAAGATTTGGTTGCTTCAAAGATACCCTCCAGTTTGGAATAAACTAAATTCGATTTTTAGTCGATTATTTGCAAAGTTTCCCTTTCCAAGGAAAAAAATTCTTCAAAATCACATGTCAACTTTGCATATTTTTAATATCCCAAAGAATCACAATAAATTTGAACGTAGTGAAGGAGAAACTTCAAGAATACTCTGCAACAATATATTCAAGAAGTGGTGTAAATTAGAAATGGATACTTTAAATTCAAAGGAACTTCTGAACAATTTGAAATCAAGATTTCACCAAAGTCAACAGCTTATAAACTTACAACTTTTCAACTTTATACACAACCATTCCCCACAATAATTTAAAGTCTAGGCTTCTTGATATCATTGACACCTACTTTTTCAATAAAAATAGAACTCGTAAATTTATTAATTACTAACTTTGTCATTTGCAAACTTATTCTGTTAGAAAACATTCTGATTGTACACACAAGTACTCTGATGTTGACATCAAAAAGATGCTTAAGTTTCTGATTGACAATATCTATGTCATTTTTGGAGACCTGGTCTTCCAACAATCTATTGGAAATCCATGGGTACCAATTGCGCCCCGTTATTAGCAGACCTATTTTTATATTCATATGAAGCAGAATTTATGCAAAATCTGAAATGCGTAAAAAGAAGAAAAGACTTGCCGGTCGGCAGGGGATGTTCAATCTTACATGCAGTTGATCCCACCTCTAATATTTTTGGAGGTCTTTTGATCTTGAATACTGTTCGTTATCTCCATATAATTCATTTAAAAGACAAGGTAAGAAAAATAACAACCCATTATGCAAGTTAGTTTTAATTCAAAATATTTCAAATTTCACTGTATTATTGTAGCAAACATATCCTATAACATGAAATATATACACCAGGACCAATGAAAATAGTAAGGTTATCAATTTCAAATGAAACTCTTGATAGCATAACGAAGAAGGTACCTTCAGCTGCTTGTCCGCCTCCTTTTAAGAAACTTGCTCTGTCCTGTTTCCATACTTTAATTTTTTGGAGAGACATCATAATTATTCACTATACGGGTTCGAATTCCACAGTGGGACGTGGAGCCAGGTTCTTCAGATGAGACCGCATAAACCGAGGCCCCGTGTCGCAGAAGGTGCTGGCACGAAAAGGATCCCAGAGTGCCGAGCATCTTAGGACAAAATTTGTAGCCCTCCACCGGCAAGTGGTGGCATCTCCATATATATGAGTGAAAATTTCTCGAGAGGGATTTTAAACAATCAATCAATCAAATTCACTACATTTGCAAATTGCTTAAAACGCTGTCCCCGATGCGTGTCATAGTTAGATGGAGGGGTTGATTCTTACGTCGCGGGTTCGAATCACATTACAGGACATGGAGACCAATTATTTCGGATGTGACCAAATGAACGAGAAGGTACTAATATTGGCATGAAAAAGATCCGTCAAAGATTTTACGTGCCGAGTAAAGGACAAAAGAGCCATAGCTGCCTTACCGACTACTCGGCCGACTCAAGTATTTAAAAGGAAATCACCTGTTTCTATTTATAGATACATGTACCTTTTCAATTCACATTCAAACTAAATCACAGGCACCTGACGTTATTTATTTTTCTTTTAATGAAAAAAAATATACACATACCCAATAATAAACAAGGTACCCATCGAAACCCGCCATCTTGGATTTTCGAAGTAGGTCAGCACTAGTATTTTCGTCTGAAACTCCGTCCAATAAATTCCCTGCAACCATATTCTTTCTGTTTTCAGTCTTTTGAGGTCTAAACTTACGGACACTGCAGCCAGAAAGGCGCATCATACTTGCAAATATTAAAAATCCCTCGTCAAACTAGACCACGGACATTAAAGCTAGCGCATTGTCATTGATGCGCTTGCGTGTTGTTTCTATCAACGCGCTAGCGCGTTGTCATTAACGCACTTTGCGTGTTGTTTCTAACGCGCTAATACACTTTTGCAATGGCCCTATCGGGACTATGGTGTCCCGATAGGGGCAAAAGTGTATTAGCCCGTTAGAAACAACGCGCAAGCGCGTTAATGACAACGCGCTAGTGTGTTAATGACAACGAGTTGTGTGTTGGCGCGAAGTCGTGTTTTGAACAACGCGCTAGAGCGTTAATGATAATACTCTACAGATGTATTCTTGTATTGTTGCATTCTTGTATTGTTGTATTCTTGTATTGTTGCATTCTTGTATTGATGCATTCTTGTATTGTTGTATTCTTGTATTGTTGTATTCTTGTATTAATGAGAATATGCTATTATTCCACGTGGATTATTGTATTCTAACAACACGCTAGCGCGTTAATGTCAACGCACTAGCGCGTTGTTCACAACACGACTTCGCGCTAACACACAACTCGGTGTCATTAACGCGCTAGCGCGTTGCATTAGTGCGCTAGCGCGTTGTTCAAAACACGACTTCGCGCTAACACACAACTCGTTGTCATTAACGCGCTTGCGCGTTGTCATTAACGCGCTAGCGCATTGTCATTAATGCGCTTGCGCGTTGTTTCTAACGCGCTAATACACTTTTGCAATGGCCCTATCGGGACACCATAATAAACTAACATTGTATGGCAAAATTTTGGTGAAAAAAATGTATTTTAAAAATCCCTTCTAGAGTAGGCGAAAGTGACTATCAAATACGCTATGGCTCTTTGCAACCCTCTTCCAGGAAGTGGTTGCCCCACACTGTGAGAGATATAATCTCGAAGTAACGTAAAAATACAAAACAAACAAATAAAACAAAACATTATCATTAATGGTCCATGTACTATTCTTCAGGTTCAGGGTCATTTTTCAACTTCTTTTTTAATTTCAAATATTTTTTCTTAGCTAGAAAATTGATAAAGATTCATCGATTTGGCCTCTTAGCAGGACAAAGCACAGTATAATATAATGTCTGTATGACATGAATCATAAGCGATAAAGCATGTAGCTTAGGCAGACTTTGGTGGGTTGTCCAAATCATTAACGGTTGTAGGTAACACTTTGCCTTTTGTTTCCGGTAACCACAAGAAAAAGAACGCAACAATCAAGCACAGAGTTCCAAACGTTAACCCTGGTCCCCAAGGCACGTGTAGAGCCTGAAGAACAAATATCTTTCCGTTTTAAAACGAATAACAAAACATATACCGGGAATATACAGATAAACGTGCATGCGCATACACTGTACCGCAACATCTCTTGAAATATAAATATTCCATTTTTTTTTTTTTAAATAACTTTCAAATTCACGGCGTGGACAAATCTTTGTGTTAAAAAGGCAGACAAACAAATAATACTGACAATTGAACACTTACGAAAGAGAAGGCAAATGGCGATAAAATGGACCCAATCCGACCAGCAGTGGACGACAGACCAAAGCCTGTGCTTCTGTGAAAGCCCAAAGAAAATGTCTATATTTTGATTGAATAATTGATCATTGATGTTTAATGCCGAGTCTGAAATATTTCAGCGGATTTATATTTTGAAGTAGATGTCGCCAAAACGGCTACTTTACTAATCTCTGACGCTTATCTTTAAGTTGGTACATGAAGGATACCGTCAAAATGGGCAACTTTAACTAACCCTTACCTTGAGATGGTAAGATGTCATCAAAGTGAGCAACCTTCACTGAGTTCTGATCCTTACCTTAAGTTGGTATGAAACTGACAAAATATGCCATCTTCTCTATTTCTGGTCATTACCTGACGTTGGTAGGATATACCATCAAAGTGAGCAACTTTTAAATTAACTAACCCTTGCCTTGAGGCGGTAAGATGTCATCAAAGTGAGCAACTTTTAAATTGACTAACCCTTGCCTTGAGGTGGTAAGATGTCATCAAAATGAGCAACCTTCACTGAGCTCTGATCCTTGCCTTAGGTTGGTAGGAAACTAACAAACTGTGCAAACTTCTCTTTTCTGATCCTTGCCTTAGGTTGGTAGGAAACTAACAAACTGGGCTTACTTCTCTTTTCTGATCCTTGCCCTGGGTTGGTAGGAAACTAACAAACTGGGCTAACTTCTCTTTTCTGATCCTTGCCTTAGGTTGGTAGGAAACTAACAAAATGGGCTAACTTCTCTGTTTCTGATCCTTAAGTTGGTAATATAACATCAAAGTTGGCTATCTTCACTGAGCTCTGATTCTTTTCGTAGGTTGGTAGGATACAACTCTGGTGTGATTAGAAACAGACACGAAAAAGCACCGGCAATTCCAAACATTCCTACCAGGCTAATCACTCTTAAAAAAGTTTTACTGTAAGAGTAATTTTTTATCTTGAAATTCACAATATTTTGATACATATAACTATGATAATTACAAGCATTTACTTAAAATTTTAAATCAATTACTGAAATATATGTCAGTTACTAAATTCAAATGTTTTACTTGATTTTTGTATTTTAAAGAATTGTTTTACTTACACACTAAAATGTTTTACTTAGTAATTTATATTTACTTAAATTTGTGTATATAAGTAATAACATTACTTGGTCTTTACTTACATTTTGCCACTATTTACTATTTACTAACTATTACAAAATATTTTTATGCACCCGAAAACGAAGTTTCAGGGGTATATAGTTTTTGTCTTGTACGTCCGTCTGTCTCTCTCTCTGTTTGTCCGCAAAAACTTTAACCTTGAGGAGCTATGACTTTCATATTTCACATGTGTATTCCTCGTGACAAGACCTTTCTTTGGGTAACACCAAATTTTACCTTTTGACCTTGACCTTGGAGTTTGACACACTTTTACACAAAAATTCCAAACTTTTTTCTTTAGCCATATCTTTTGAACAGTAAATACCGGGATATTTATACTTCACAGATATATTTTTTGTTTAATTACCTTTCATTTGATACCAGCAACCATGACCTTTTGACCTTGACCTTGGAGATATCAAGAAATACCAATATATTAAATTTGCCATATTTATGAAATTATTTGTACTGCAACTGCTCTGAATTTTCCTTAATTAAGGAAAATTCAGAGCAGTTGCAGTAAAATAATTACTTAAATATGGTAGTCTAATTACTATCGGGATTACATTCTTGAAATGTAACATTTAAATTGGTCTGTGAGGAGGAGTTATCTTTCCTCTAAATATTCCTTCATGTGAAAAAAAATGTCATACTAATAAAAATGCTGAAATAAGTACTTGAAGCATTAAACCATTTTTAAAATGGTCCTTAAAAAGATACAACTTATTCAATTTATAAGGCTTTTGATGTTGGAATTAAATGTTTTATTGTTAAATATAATAAAACAATTACAAAGAAATTGGCAAAAGAAATAGAAAGTATCGTTTCCATCATGTGACAGTCAGATGTCGATTCCATCTAACTGAATACTCAAAGGTCTCAATTTGGGAAGTCTGATCAAGAACACTGCGAGAAGTACTCATATTTTGTACTTACAAATTATCTCTCTTATCAGAGGGTCGGTACATTGCAGTGTTTCTAGTAAATAATATTGATTTTAGTAAATATGATAACTATTTCATTTACCTTGTATTCTTTTAAGTAATAATATTCTAGATTTTTCAGTATTACATTTACTTAGTAATAATTCATAAAATTTAGTAAATAGAAAGCATATTATCTCTAAATTAAGTAATAATAATTTACCAAAAATGAGTATTTCAATTACTAAGTAATATAATTCCTATTGTTAAACTAATTCTATTGATACTTAGTAAATCATTTTATAAGTAAATCAATTCATCCTTATTACTAATTATGTTTACAATTACTAACCATAATAGTCATTTACTTGCTATTCTGACTAAATGAATTACTAATAATTACTAGTTTTTCTTAATCTAATATCTTATTTTAAAAACAACAAGTAAAACTTTTTTTAGAGTGAAATATCATCGACAGGACACTAAGGTTGACTGTAAGAGATAGAAGTTTTTTGTTATCAACAAATTCAGCTAATATTTTGGTACATGTAACTATGAGACATTCAAGAGTTTAATTTGGTCAAACATTTATTTTTTCCATGATGTAAATATCTTCGCAAAAGAATGAATATATTTATAAAATGAGATGTATTAATAAAGGCAAGTTATGTTTTTACCTGTATATTTCAAAATAAGTGCAGATGCAATGAGGAAGAATCCTGAGAGAGCGAAAAAGCCAATTGATGTATATCTTCTACCTATCCTAAAGCAAATATACATGTACCTGTACTTGAAAATTAGTTGTTTTAATTTGCATCGACGCGTGATGTTTTTATGTTAACTTTATAAATTGATGCCTACGTCACTTCCGCTAAATAACTCACTTTCCGATAAGATCCCATAGAACAAATTGACTTGGAGTTTCTGCCAAAGCATTTAGGAAGAAATTCAGAAATCTGTTTTCTGATAAACTACTGGACATCAAGTAGAGGGCGTAATAAGACAAAATGACGACAAACCTAGGTAAACAACAACTTTTATGTAACATAGATCAACGTGTTCAATTTCTCTTGCATTTTTAAATGAAAAATCAAGAAATGTATTTTAAAAAACCACAATGTTTAACAAGCAGTCCACAGAATAAAAGATATGAATAAAACTCTTCTTTCTCGTATAATGTCGAGGATATTGTATTTTTCTTTCATTGAGTCGTCATCTCTGTCTGTTATTTGATGATCTGAATTCGCAAGCAGTGTCTCTACTTCGTTTGATGGCGTGTAAAAACTTTTCAGAATCTGTTCTGGGTCCTTTTTATTCCATTTTGCTGCTCTACGTATCCAAACTTTTACCTCTTCGTCTTTGCCATTCGCCACCAACCATCGTAAAGATTCGTGTTGTAACCTGGATGTTCATACAACATTGATTAGTACAATTCTCTGTCATCCCTGGACTTTCAGTGAAGTGTGATATTCTCGAAGCTAAACGATTAGCGTCTCTCAAATTGTCATTGTTAAGAATTTAATAACATTAGTAATTAAATTGTTGAGATGACTAATCCCCACCTCTTTGCTGTAAGAAACGCTGTAATTGGATCATTGTTACACTCGTTGGCTATTGCCCGAATTTCTATCCCATGTATATTTCAACAGTGAATGAAAGGCTGTGTAAATTTCAGACGCTAATTATGTAACGTCGAGAATGCCACGCTTACTGAAAGTTCAAGGAGAACGGAGAATTGTACTCAATCACATGCTTTTAGGAGGAGCAGAGGACATGATAACAGCACTCACCAATGGGTTCCAATACAATGGATGCCGATCAGACCCACAAGAAGCTGCAGGTATCTCCAAGATTGGTCTTGTGGGAGGTAGCCGAAGACATTAAGGCACCGCCCACATTAAGGCACCTATAAAGGTGGTGGTAGCTCTGAATTCCGCCAGTGTAAAGACGAATAATGACCCCCATCGAATAATGACCAGGGGTAATTTTTCAACGACAAAAAATGACCCCCACCCGTAGGAAAAAAAAACATTTTTTGTAGAAAAAGAGTCCTAGGGGTCATTATTTTATATGTTAGTCCTATAAAAAATTGACCCCCATTGAAAAAATGACCCCCTTTAAAGTGATACAAAATTTATATACATGAAAGTATTGTGGCAAAGTAACAGTTGAAAATTAGTAGAATAGTAGATTATTTTAAGCTTATTTTTAGTCCCTCCTTATAGAAAAATAAAGGTAGGGTAGTTTTGTTTTTGTTGCTTTTGTTGATAATCGACTTCCTCCTAAATAAGTAAGGGGGTGGGGTGGGTATTAACACCTAAAATATGCTCTGTAAAGCTATGGGCTAGCGTAAAATATACATTCTAATGCAAAAAATATACATGAAGACATAATCTTTTGATTTAGCACACAGTATTCATTATTACATTTCTTAATTCTTGTTTTACTCCACCTTTTTACTCAATTCTGAGTATATTTTTCAGAGAATTTAATATGAAAATCAGAACAAACATTTTCATTTTTGTAACGTCTTCTTTATACTGTATCATAATATGAAAAGTTAATTGAAGATCATTTCTTTTTATGTCCCCGTAATCGAAGATTCGGGGGAATATAGTTTATCGTGTCCGTCTGTATGTCTGTCTGTCTATCTGACGGTCTGTTTGTCCGCAAAATCTTTAACCTTTACCATAATTTTTCATTTATTGGAGCTATGACTTTCATATTTAATATGTGTATTCCTTGTGACAAGATCTTACTTTGGGTACCACCAAATTTGACATTTTGACCTTTACCTTGGAGTTTGTCCCATTTTACACAAAAATGCCATTTTTTTTCACTCTGGCCATAACTTTTAAACGGTAGATACTAGTACTCTCATACTTCTTATATGTATTTTTTCTTTTTTGGCATGACTTTTCATTGGATACTAAAAACATTGACCTGAACTTGACCTTGGAGATTTCCGTACTTATGAAAAAACTTTAACCTTGGCCATAACTTTTGAACGGTAAGGGCTAAGGTATTCATACTTCACATATGAATCAAGGCAACATTCGATTAGACATCGATCTCGATGCAAATTATGTCACTTTCGTTTCTCACAGGACATAACACGCCCACAAACACACACACGATTGCGTTTCTATATTCCCTCCAGCTCTTATGCGTGGGGATAAAAAATACACGTTTACACACAAAGATATCTTTTAAAAGATACGAAATTAGGGAACATTTAGTATCTGTCCGGATTTTATACCACGGTGCTCATCTTTGTTATTCTATAGTTTTTATCAGTTACAAGAAATTGCATGTCGTGCTTTTACTTCCGCGTCCTTTTTGTACGTAGCACATAAATTGTATTCTGTATTTTAAATCTGATGTTCCCCTAATGACTACTCTTTGTTTATGTGTACATACATTTGTATTTGCAATTGTGAGGCAAGGTAGTACTGTTTCCTCCTTTTCTTTTCCACGATGTAATGAAGGATATTCCGGTTTTAAGTATACAAAAAATCCAAGGCATAAGAACTCATGGTAAGCTTCCTTAATCAAAACTGAACCCAAGAAAACAATCTTTTTATTTACTTCTTGGGTTGTTTGACCTTAATAACATAGAAATCTGTAAGATCATCTAGATTTGTAGGCAACTCTCGACCACTGGTCTCCGGTAACCATAGGAACAGAACACAAACAACAATGGAGAGACTTCCAAACACAACTCCTGGACCCCATTCGATCAATGCTGCCTGAAAGAAGAAACACATCTTTCTCATTAAGAAATTCAGATATAAAAAAGATGATTAGTAATAATTACAACTCGACAATAACTTACAAACATTGTGGTGAATGGGGACAGCATCCCGCCAATCCTGGCTGAGGCAGACGCCATGCCATATCCAGCAGACCTAAACAATACAGGTATTGTCTGCATGGTTTTATGTTGTAAATTTTGAATTTACTATTGGGAGGTAAATGCAAAAGTTACACGATAACGTTCTGCATTTACCTCTCCTAGTAAATTTAAAATTTACAGCATGCTATTATTACATTAAACAACTCGGTTGCATTTCCTCTAATAAAATGAATGTGGCTCGTACCTGAACTCAATGACAGAGATCCATGATATTGATTAAAGACGTAACATATATCCTGAATTTGTTTTTAAATCTATTCTAAACTTGCGTTGATGCCAAACTTGTCTTTCAATTTGGTAAAAAGTTGGTCAACCATTAGCATAGCCTTTCATTCTTTATGTACTTGTACTTTACCAACTATTAATGCGCCAAGCAGACACGAAAAACTCGATTACAAAAACAATTTTTATTGATATTACTGTACGTAACCAAAGAGTCATTTTAATTCTTAAAAAAAAAAAAAAAAAAAACCCTCGCATTCTTATGGAATCCGGATAGGGCCATGCAGTTTACTATCGCACCATCGAGCATCGACTTATAGGTCGATGGCGCGATAACGATGAAACGATGGTGCGATGACGATAGAGCTATGGTGCGATAGCGCGATGACGATGATGCGATAGCGCGATGACGATGGTGCGATAGATCGATAGTAAAAGTGAATATCGCTTCATCGTCATCGTACCATCGCGCCATCGTTATCGCACCATCGCTTCATAGCACCATCGCTTCATTTATCGTACCATCGTCATCGCATTATCGCGCCATCGCTTCATCGTCATCGCACTATCGCACCATCACTTCATCGTTATCGCACCATCGCTTCATCGTCATCGCAAAATCGTTTTTTTATCAACCCAAACCTCGATGGTGCGATGATGCGATAGTGAACTGCATGGCCCTATCCGGATTCCATACATTCTCATGAGAAGACTTTTTCCATCGAAAGATACATAAAGTATTTATGCCATCACACAAAGTCAGATCTTTTTAAATCTTAGTATTATACTTGATGTGTTGATTGTTGGGCACAGTCTACCCAATAGGTCATTTTTTTTTTATCAATCGAATATAATTATATGACTTGCCATCAGACATTCTCTTCGCGCGTCTTACCATATAAAATTCAGAAAATGATTCAATTAAATTCTTAAATGATCATGTGTAGGACAAACATACCTTAAGTTAGTTGGATAAATTTCGGGAGTGTACAAGAAAATGGTTGCAAAGGATCCACTGATTCCAAATTTTCCCATGAAGTTAAAAAATGCCGAAAAGCCATCTACAAGTGACGTTCTATCTAAACAAAAAAAATAATGATAATAATAATTGCATGAAAAACAGGATGTGCTTGTGAAACATTGATGCCCCCATATGGCAGCTTATGGCGAGTGTTGAACTTTCTCAAATACAAAGGTCAATGTAAGAAGGTCAAATTTGTTGGTAAGATAGATCTTGTTATAAGCAATGAATCTGTGAAATATGAAAGTCCTAGTACCAACTGTTCAAATGTTATGACGAAGGTTCAAGTTTTAAAAAAAAAATGTAAAAGGTGAAGGTCAAAAATGTTCATACCCGTTAAAAGATCTTGTCACAATGAATACATGAAGTATGAAAACCCTAGTGCGAACTATTGAAAAGTAATGGCCAAGGTTAAAGTTTGGTAATTTCTTGTAGAAGTGGGTTATGCTACAAGGTGAAGAGATCAAATTTGGTGGTACCCAAAGAAAGCCTGAAGTAATACACCTGAAATATGAAAACCATAGCTCCATCCACTCAAAAGTTATGCGCAGGTTAAATCTTTTGTGGACAAACAAAGACAGGCAGACGGACAGGGCAACAACTACATACCCCAAGTTTTTTGATAACGGGGGTATCATGTACCTGGTATCTGGGGGACTATTTTGTGAGAATATTAATGTCTAGTAAAAGATGACATCATATAAGTTCAATAACAATTAAGAAAACTAGATGTTGCGAGCACCTGTCTATCGGTTAATATACTACACTATACATGTATATGAAAATCTTTTAAAACAAATGAATAGTTAAGCAGATCAATGTTATCACTACAAATCAGTATTTAGCGTATGGATGAATATATACTCGACTTTTGCTGTATATCGATTCTTAGTAATATACTTTTTTCTGAATATCGATTCCAGTAATTTAGTTTTTATGAGGGAAAACGAGACATTAATTGTCGTTTCATTTCTTTAAGTGCATAAAAAATTTGGTTGTAAGTTCCATATGATAGTTCTGACATAATTGTTTTTATATAGAAGTCATGTGTGGGGTACACTTATTTTTCAACTCTTGTTTTAATGTTCTGAAAAATCCAGAGAAGTCATTTAATACATTAACATATTACAAGGGCACCGCGAAGCTGAACATTCCTCCAAAGAATAAAGAGATGTATATAAATATATAAATCAAGATAGCTGCAATACTGTAGCCCTCTCCGATTTTTTTTATCTGATATTTTCTGGAGAGGGCTACAATTCCATCGCATCTCCGTAATGGTGCAAATATATTTTTTTGATACGGGTGATTGGAGGCAAAATAAATTATTTTTACAGTAAACTTACTTCTTATAAGACGGAATTTTTATTCACTGTCAACAACATAGCCTGTTAAACTCGAAAACCATGTAAAATAAATCTGTGTCTTTCCTAGCTGCAATATTCAGCAGCCATGACAGTTCACGCGTGACGTATGAGACTTTCGCTTGAAATTTGGAACAACCAAATGAAGCAAATGTACACCTGTTTATAAACGATTGTGCTTTAATTACATTACAAAAACATCGATAAATAAAACCATTTCAAGTGTTTTTTTGCGCAAACAGCGTACGTATGCTTAAAATAAGGGAATTCCTAGTAAAAGATCCGCTCATATAAGAATAAATTCTAGATTGGCTGTCCCAATATATACAATCCATCAAGGTCAGTAAAC